AATTCACTGTGACATACATCCTTACTTTGATTCCGGCGGAAGCGTGCTTAGCTCTCATTCTTCACGTTATTGACATTCATTCTTCAAGCTTAAATTAAGCCAAGAAAACTAACAGCCGCATCAATGCCTGTTATTTATAACAATAAAAACTAAATTTCATGCGATATTTACATAATATGTTAATGAAGGCCGGTATGGGATTGTGCTGAAGGTTCCGAGTAATTTTTGTTGCCACTAGTAATCAAGGTGTATTTATCTGTTTGATTAAGTGGAATGCATTAGTACCCCGCTTTAAAATATTCATGTAAGAGGATGAACTTTAACTAATAAGTCAAATCGTAGCTCCTGAATCTCAACATGTAATTCTCTTAAGCAAACATAGCTAGCTTTTTCTTGGCTTCTGTTTGAAAATACGCGTATTTTATTTTTATCTAATTTGCAAGACATAAAAGGTCTTATAAGTGTTGTAGTAATTGTTTGACCTTGTTTTCCCATCTTGGTCATATTGGTAGAAGGGCATTGAGGAACGCATCTGATCCGGCGTCATTAGTATGCAGGATAATTTTCAAAATTGGAACATGGACTTGATATATTCCCAAAAGTTTCGCCGGCATCATATTTGAGCATTGCCATTCCTAGTACTATACTAAAATTCGTCAAAGTGAAATCGATCCCTTTACTAATTGTCTGCTGAACAGTTGTGGTATATGTTCTGTCCTGGGCTATTCACCTATCTTATATTATCGTATCACCCTTTCACTATCATAATTTCTTGCTTATTTGAATGTGGTATGGTGTGCCCTTTGAGCGGATTTAATGAGACTTCTTCAAACCCCACGTTGACTTTCGCGCCCCTACTATTATGCTGGGAATGCTGATTTGAATCGGCTCTATTAATCATCTCCAACTTCAATATCCAATATTCTCTACAAGATATGTGGAAAACTGGGTTCAGAAGGATTTCTTAATAGATTGATGTTAGAATAACTTTCATTTCGTTTGAAGAGGCGAGTGGAAGCGATTCGTAAATTGTTTCCATCGGAGGTAGTGGGTGGGTTTTCTTTGGAGCTGTGATTGTAGATTTGTGCGAATAGATCCTCGGCGCATCGCTCTGCGACACCGATTAATCGTTGCTGAGCTTTCGTCCGTCATGTGACGGACATCGTCAGAGCAGGACACTAATTTATCATAAGCACGAAGGCAGGAAGGAAGTAGGTTTGAAGCCGGCCTTCTTTATTGCCTTCGTGTTTTTAGTGATTTATCGGTAGTCATGGTGTCCTGCTCTGACGATGGGTCGCAGGGTGGTGCGCTGAGGTCCTATTAGCATAAATCTACAACCACAGTGCTAAGGCAACCCTCCCACAGCCTCCGCAGGAATCACTCGCCTCTTCAAACGAAATAAAAGTTACTTTAACTTTACAAGAATTTTGGTGCTTAGCTTCATTTTGGTCATTGCGATGATAGGTCGCATGGCGATCGTATAAATAAACTATTTTCTTGTACACGGGTTTGAATCGAGCATTAGACTTCTCCCTATCAGATGGCAGCATCTAAGAATGTATTACCTTTCTCTTGGCAAACTGCCTTTATTTTCCTCTTTTACGCTATTTCCAATTTTTTGACACTAAGGCTAAATTGAGTAAAGGTACACTTGGAGTTCATTCCAAAGTATCACCCTCCTTAATCCTGTCTTCTGTTTTAAATAAAGTCTGGCCAGTAATTGTTATAAAATAATTTATCGAAAACTACCCTATATACAACGGTATTTGTTTCATTTCAGCTCCCTTTTTTTCATCCTTCCTCTACATTACGTCATTTTCCCTTAGGAACTATTCATCATTGATTCTGTCATATCCTTGCACTTATGTTCAGCATGAATCTAAAATATCGTTTCAAAAACTTTTCCATGCGTAGGCCTTCGCATTTAGGTCAAGTGACCTCTATATGTTTTATACCATCCCGTTATATATTATATATTAAGTTTAACTATCTGCACTGGACAGTATATTCGCTACTTAGTTTATATTGTAAGGGTTTATTGGTTCAGGTTAATTTCGAACTTTTTGATTATTGAAATAATAGTATGCATCGACAAATTTGAACTCATTAAACTAATTTGTTTGACTTGTTATCATTTTGAATGTGTTCTTAATAAAAGCAGTTCTAATACCAAAAGAGCAATATGCATCGTGATATATGAAATAGCCTTAAAAAGATTAATAACATAACTGTCATTACTTTATTCTAATAACTTAGTATCACTAATATGAAATATGCCCGCCGGCCCTTCTACCTACCTATACTATTTTAAAATAACTTTTCTTACATGGGGCGTTTTGAATAAAGGGAGCTCAGCTGTTTTTCGGAGCATACTCCAATGAGACTACTTTTAGAGAGAATCACTCAAACAAAAGATGTATTAAGGCATATTCACCCTATTTCATTTTAAATGATTGGGAGACCGATGGTTGTGTTTTCCCACTGATACGTGTAGGCCATATATTTCCTTTGAATTCCGCATAGCCTTGCTTTCCCAAAAAGTATTCTTATCCAATAAGGGATGGACCTTAGTTTCGACCACGCCTAGGTCTCATTAGCACTATCAGCGGGACTCTAAACGTAACAATGAATCGTATAATTTCGACATGTTAACTACTAAGCTATATTGCATGAATATCATTGGGTCACAAAGATGTGAACTGCATGGGATGCTAGGCTTTTTTCCATATTTCAATATGTGGTAGGGATCTCGATGAAGAAAAGTTGTATTTGCTATAGCACTAGATAGCATTTCTTATTTTCTTCTACAAGTATGTTTTCTAGACTACCACTATATCATATATGTCAGGTGTATTCGCCATATTTCGTAATAAGGGGACTAGTAGTTGAATGGTTCGACTCCAGCTGTAGGTGCTGATGAGAACTAGGCGAGGCCGAGACTGCAGTATACCCTGGATGAGAATGCCTTGTTAGAAAGCAAAGCTGTGCGAAATTTTTTTCTAATAATCAGGTCTACTCATATAATTGCACGAGAAATTTTAACTGCCAGTTCTATCACCTTGAACAAAATAGAGTGAATACATCTCATATATATGATCTACTGGTAGTCTCGAAAGCCTACTTATAAGCGAAAAAAGATGGGATCACAGCCTATCAAAAAGACAGGCCTATTATTTTAAATTGAATTGATTTACAACACTTTGCAAGCCTAGACACTTTTCATTGTGATGAAAACTTTCAACATTTGATCATCAAAGGCTTATCAGTGAGTACGGCAACACTATTTGGCTCCATCATGTTATAGTCCACGTGTTTTGGACTTTTTAATATTGTACCCTATTTCATTCGTAACTTGTAACTTACATCATTTTTTGATATTTTTTATTTAATGTAGATTTTTTACTATCAAAAAGGGTTTTGTTTGGCTAATACTAACATCCTTGTTGTATCATTATCTATATTTTACTACTTTTCTGCTATAGCCACTGCTACCCATTTTACGTTCAGCCCCACCTTTTTGCTTGTCTATCTTTTTTTTCAATTGATAAACTTTAAGATTTTAGTGAGTATTATTATGCAAGGCTAGTTATCTAAATAGTTTTATATTAGGGCTCATTACTTTCCTTGAATCACTCTGGATTGCCTTCCTGAGCTCTCTTCATCTCCTTGTTTTCATCTACACTATTTAATATTCTTTTAATTCGCCTATAGGACGGCCAAACGCCATTGCATGTAGCCGTGATGATAAGCAGTCCAGAGCTCGTCTCTCTACTTCTGCACTCAGGCGCCAACCCCAACCACGTTACTCATGATGCCCACACAGCCTTGCATACCGCCGCCAGAGAGGGTCGTGTGGATGTACTTTCCATGTTACTCGAGGCTGGGGCCGATCCAGAAGCAAAAAATAAGGTATATATAATGTATTTTCTGCGTTGCTTATACTAAGGTCTGAATTTATTCTTCTTGGTAAACCACAAAACGAACTATTAGGATCTTTTGGATAGTATTGTATGATTAGGAATCTGGCATTTGCAATGTAAATGACTGGGCATAGAATAGCTTCTAATTTGAAGAACTTTATCATACTGTAAGACATTCCGTGAAGATTTAGATTCGGTAGGACAATAAACAGCTTGTTTATGGTATTCGAAAGCGATTCTAACATTCTGTATTAGAAGAGTTATACTATACATAACGGCTCGTTATCTAACTTCTTTTCTTGGCCAATGCGATTGATCTCTTCTTTATATTTCAACTTTTATCTTATGTCCTTTTATTCATAGCGGATACTTTGTATCCGATGAAGTATGGAGCTAAGGTTTATTTGCTCTACTACTTCATTGCTATCTGGAACTATACAGAATGATTCTACAATCCCTTCTTTTTTAATTGGTTCGTAAATAAATTCTACTGGTTATAACACCCACAACTTCACTTATCCTATTTGGTGATAAGCACTTCGTTGCCCAAATCTTAAAATATTTTGTGCTATTGCTTCCCATGGAAACATGATAATCAATTCGAGACTAAGCACTTTTTTTTATTGCTATTTAGTGTTGATCTCCTTTTCTATAAAGATATTTTGAACTTTTATAAAAACTTCATAAATCCTGTCATAAAAAACACCTACTACGAGAGCCTGAATATACTTCGCTTGCACAAATTTTTGTTTTTTACCACATTTTGCTGTTTTTATTAATGAATAACTTATTTTCTACAATTAATTTCTGATGTTTTCAGGACAAATTATTTATGCACCCTTAGATAGTGAGTAAATCAAACTTGAGGACGGCAAGACTCATAAACTTCGATCCTATTATAAGTATTTTGTAGGAATTTAGTCATACTAGGTCGATTTAGATGACTGAGGTCTAGTATGCGAATTTTTGCCACAATACTGTTTATATATTCTTTTTAAAACCCGATTAATACTTTTTGTAAATTTTGCTAAATTTTAATCATTTCAAATCTTTTTTATAAATTATAAAAGCACTTATTTTAAGAAGCACTTAAATACATCCTAAATTATTACAGAAGTTGCCTGACTTTGTTTTCGCAACTTGGTCATATTGGCCGGAACGCACCTTGTCTGAGTCCATAGTATGTGTAATAATTTTCTTTCGAACAATGGACTTTGTACATTCCGAGGCGTTTGGCCTGCATCGTTGTCGACATCGTCAGTGAGCCTTGCACCACATCACAACTCGTTAAAGGGCAAGTGAAGTCGATCCTTTGACCATTTGTCTGCTAAATAGTTGTAGTATATCTTCTTCTATCATGTACTATTTACCCATCCTACATAGTCGTATCACCTCTTCAATAACATAATTTCTTTCTTTATGTCAATCTAGTTAAAGTGTACCCTTTTAACTGGATTTGGTGAGGCCTATTCACACTCCCCGCTGGTTCCCTCATCCCCTCACTGTGCTGGGAGTGTTAATCTAAGATCTTTAGGACCCTTCCCTTATCTATCTGGCTAAGTAATTTCACTCCTTCGCTGCAACCGTATTTGCGCTACTCGAGGCATTATGTTATTCACTTTGCCTCAAGTCTTTGATAACATGTATACGCCAACCTCACCTAGCATGGAAACCTGACTTGACGCTGCAAATAGCCTTTGTCATAAGCAAGTCATAGACTTGGCATTAGGGATAGAAGAGCGGAAGGTACCACGAAGACCATTGATAGTTGGCTATTAGTAGATAAGTTTGATGATAGACGTGGTTCATGAAGTAAAAGTCTGAGTACGAGATTTACTTGGTGTACATACGGTACACTGGCAGGGGAATCTGCAGCATCGTCATCGTTATCTCATTTATTAACCACATTTGTAGATACGAAGAGAAACTGGGTTA